CGTTAGCGAAGGAGCAGATCCAAATATGGGACCGAACTATATTGTCCATGGCTCCTAATGTGAGGAATGTATGTAGGAAATTCTTCTTGGCTGAGGTCAGCTCAATTCTTCTAGTTGATGATCACAAACTTTTGATGATACCACAAAATATCAGTTTCAGAAATCCATTTGCATCGCTTCTATGTTTTATTTGGAGCATTGATTAGTTTGTAATTTATCTATTCCACTTTAACACTTTGAAGTCAGTTCTTTATGCTTAGATTTCCACTGAAATTGAAACTCGTATCTTTAATTTGCTCATTTTCTTGGTAATTTCCTGTTACATAGTGATGTGACGTCTAACAACTCAGACATATACATATTTGTAGTAAATCTTTGTGATAGTTAAGAGTAGTTAAAATATATTGCAAACTAAGAATCCCAGAAATAAACAAGAGGAACTACATGAGCATGAACGAACGTATTGCATCAAAAATTCATAACCAAGCAGTCACCAAGTACAAACGCCACAGCCGCCACAGTTTAAATGGGTTTCCAAATTTCTGAAATTAATTGTACCTCTTCTCCGTAGGTAATAATCATATAATCATTAGCAGTAGAATTAACTACTGAAATCGGAACGGACTCACTTGGATCCTGAAATTGTATAAAATCACCATCCCCGTTGTATGCCGAAACCACTGATATCTAGAATTTGAACCAACGACTTTACATCACTATCCTGCCCCACAAAATAATGTTGAATTTTCATATCCTCAAGTCATGAATAATCTAGCTTCATTTAAAACATATTTCTCACATTGACCAGAGTATTCATTAGAAGTGACTTCATGATAAGGTTAAACAACAGTTGATATTACATCATCCGAATTGTAATCAAAATTGAGCTCATTCAGTACCCATACATCGCATTGTACAAGTTTCCCATAATAAACAAGCACATCATGAGGACAAATATTATCTGATATTACATCAGAATTCAATTCTTTTGAAATACTTTCCTCGAATTTATTAAGAATGTCATTGAAGAGTGATGGATCATTAGAAAAGTCAGTATCCATCAAAACTGAACCAGATTTTTTTTATCATGGTTTGATTCATTCAACATGTTTTCCTCAACTTTATAAGAAATTTCACAATAAATATGTGAATCATTAGAGCAAATCATATCTGATATGACAACGTGAGAAACTCTATCAGAACTTGATTGACTAGAAGTTTTTGTCTCATAATGGTTATGAGTTTTATTTTAATCTGTACTGCTGTACGACTATACTGTTTTTTGAAGGCGTGGATAAAGATAAATGATCATTAGATACACTCAACTTCATAAGATCAGAATTACAAAACTCAGCATCGCGTGAGGCTAAATGGATAGTAGTATTACGAACTGACTGAATGTGTTCAATCTCATCACATTTAAAGCATTAAGCATTATGAAATACACATGAATTACATGGGTGAAACTTGCCACAGGACAAACATTGATCAAACTGGTGCTCATCGTCGTGAACAGATTCGCAACTTTTCAATGAATTGATATCTGCATGATCTTAATTACGCATTGGACTGGGATGGCGTAATAAAGTAGAAAAATTTCTGATGTCCTGAAGAATTATCTTCTGAAGTTTTTCTCCTTTACCACATTCAAAATTTGTACACTTTACATGGTTTAGTATTAGTTGCTTGAGGGTTGAATAAGGAAGTAAAATCGTCTTGTTTGAAAATGCCAGTCTTTATTAAACTGTATACTTCTATTAAACTCCGTCTGTAGCTGTTCTAGAGTTACTGCCGGTCCTAAGTCTGGGTGACGGAGGAGGGTTGGGCATAAGGTCGACAACCCCATCTCGTAGAAAAAATCTTGCTAAGAAAACGCCAACTAGATTTTAAAAAATTAAATCATTTAAACTCTGTCCTAGGAGTTGAAAGAAGAATTATGACGCCTCAGGATGAATTCATGAAGACGATGTCCATTTTACCAACCACAGCAAGAGGAGGAAATATGAAACAATTATATAATACGACGAAGAAACCGGCAGGGAAATATATTAGACCAGAGAGATCGGTTAGGGATAAAGAAGGAAAGACAATCACTGAGATTCAAGAACAGAGGAACAAATGGTTAGACTACTTCGAGGAACTGTTGAATAGACCAGCCCGATTGAATACACCGGACATCAAAGCAGCACACACAAACCTTCCTATAGATGTCACTATACCAACGATCGTAGAAATCAGGATGGCTATCAGGCAAATCAAGAGTGGGAAGGCAGCAGGACCTGAGAATATACCAGCTGAAGCACTAAATTCAGACATAGAAGTAGCTGCACGCACGCTTCACATTCTATTCAATAAGATTTGGGAGGAAGAATACGTTCCGGAAGACTGGAAAGAAGGATACCTCATCAAGATACTAAAGAAAGGAGATGTGAACAAATGTGAGAATTACAGAGGCATCACACTGTTGTCAGTACGAATAAAAGTTTTCAATAGAGTGTTGCTGAACCGGATGAAATACGCAGTAGACGCTCAACTTCGAGATCAACAGGCTGGATTCCGCAAAGATCGGTCGCGGATAGATCAAACCGAGCTACCACGGATCATCGTTGAACAACCGATTAAGTGGAACTTGTCACTATACATCAACTTCATCGACTATGAGAAGGCATTTGACAGAGTGGATAGGAGAAACTTATGGAAAATTCTCCGATACTATGGAATTCCTGAGAAGATTGTTAATATTATCCGGAACTCATACGACGGACTACAGTGCAAAGTGGTACATGGAGGACAGCTGACAGATGCATTTCCAGTAAGGACTGAAGTCAGACAAGGCTGTCTACTCTCCCGCATCCTCTTTCTACCGGTGATTGACTGGATTATGAAGACCTCGACATCTGAGGGAAACACGGAATACAATGGACATCTCAGAACCAATTAGACGACTTGGACTTCGCAGATGACCTAGCCCTCCTATCCCATACACACGGACAAATGCAGATGAAGACAACAAATGTAGCAGCGGCCTCTGCACCAGCATGGCCTCGGTATACGAAAAGTAAAAAGACCCTCAAATACAGCACGAAGAAAAACCAACCCAAGTCACACTTAATGGAGGAACTCTGGGAGATGTATAATCTTTCACGCACCTGGGAAGAATCATTGATGATCTATAGAGATTGGATTCAGACGCAAAGGCGAGGATTGGCAAAGCAACGACAGCATTCCTGCAGTTGAAGAACATATGGAACTCAAAACAATTGTCAACCAACACCAAATTCAGAATTTTCATTACAAATGTCACGACAGTTCTACTGTATGGGGTGGAGACGTAGAGAACTACGAAAGCCATTATCCAGAAGATACAAGTGTTTATTAACAGTTTTCTACGCAAAATACTTCAGATCTGTTGGCCAGACACTATCATCCACAACCTACTGTTGAAGAGAACAAACCAGATTCCAGTGGAGGAAGAAATCAGGAAGAATCGCTGGGACTCGATATGACGCACATTGAGGAAATCACCCAACTGCATCACAAGGCAAGCCCCAGTTTCGAATCTTGAAGGGAAGCGGAAAACCAGAAGGCCGAAGAGCACACTACATCGGGAAGTGGAAGCAGATATGAAAAGAATGAATAGTAACTGGAAAGGATTACCCAGGACAGGGTTGGATAGTGTTGGTGGCGGGCTATGCTCTTCCACGAGGAGCAACAGACGTAGGCAAGTAGATGGGTAATGATTATTTTCCGATGAATATCAGGAAATGAATCACAATATTAACATCCTCAACATCTTCCTTCTTCATAATCTAGATTTCGAACCTTTTCATGTTATCCTTAAAAGCATCAAAATCTGAATGTATGTCCAACCGTTTCATCGCATGCATTCATCAAGTACGAACGAATCATCAGTTCTTAACAATACCACAATCTTGCATTGTTGATGACCTACTGGCTCAACTATCTTTATGTTTTCGTATCAATTGTAGCAATAACTACTATACTATACTATTTGTTATTCTATAAAAAATGATATATATCTAGTGATTGAGGGTAGTTTTTGATTTCTTTATGGGAAGATCTTTGCTTGCATTAATATTGATATCGGCAACAAGTAGAAATTCGATCGCAGTTTAAGGCGATTTAACGTACCGAAACCGAAAGGTGATTAACGTTTACTAGCTAACTAAGCATACAGAGTCATTTAATACTGAATCTATTATGAGGTCTTCTTAAGATAGAGTTTCATATGTTCATAGTTTAAGATGGATTTATGAAAGATGAAGAAAGCAGTTATCACAGTCTTGAAAAATGTGACACAAACTTTGAAAAAGCTATACTCCCTTAATCTGTAAATACGTTTCTACGCCGACAACTCAAAGCTCAATAAATCCTCTGAAAATGCAGGCGTGTGAATTAAAGTAGTGTTTTATTACCTAGAGTAATCTTTCACTAGCCGAAATTTTGTAATCCGCTTAATAGTTTGTAGAGCTATTCAGGTTTAAGACCTGAAAATATATTTAGTTTGTTTTCGAAGATATAACTCAACACAATTCATGATCTATTTTTCCCTTGCTCGTTGTTGCTGTTAACATCAATTCCGTGAGTTGGATACGTTTTCTTTCACTAGCTCTCTTAATTTATCTAACACAATTTTGGTTCATTAACACCATTATAATTTCACCACTATGTAACCAACATAGAACTATTATTTCGAATGAAGTATCAGTTCTCATTTTGCAATCACTGTGTATTGCTAAGTTAACCATTTTGTTAATTGATCCAATTCTGTTTTTTATCTTCGGCAAATAATATAACTGTATTATTATTACTCGGAACTTACAAACATCTCCTTTAAGAATACTGATATACTGTGTATGATTTTTAAGATAATTTCTTTCCCGTCTATTGTAATTGTAAAAATATACCATGAATTCGTGTTTCCTTCATAAGCATTGCTTTCGATTCCTTTTCTTAAATTTCTCTTTGATCTATTTTAGAATTTGTTTCAACACTTGTAAAAATTAGTTATATTTGTGATAAGTGAAATCTATTGGAAAAACGCTCATCAGCTTCTTACATGATGATTCGTCTAAACATGTATGATCACCTTGTGATTGATCGGGAGATTATGATATGTGAGCTCTTTAAAGCTATAACGTGTAGTAAAATAGAAATGGATTTGCTGAATGATGCTATGGTAAGTAAATTAATCATGTATGTCAAACTATTCCTTCAAATATTGATGAATATTCGTACAAATTATTTTGTAGTCGATTTAAATCATTCATGTATTTACTATCTTCTTCTCTTAAGGAAATCTGATTATGCTTATTTAGAGATCATAAATAGAATCTTAAGGGATGTAAATTATTCATGAGGATTTATAAAGTGAACATGACATAATCTAATAACCTACAACCTGGGAAATGACTTAATCTTTTATGAATTTAGTTATCACCTTGAATACAGTTAGCTTAGACATTAGTATCCCTCTCAAGGTATTTGAACTTTCAAAATGACGTGAAATAGTTTGTGAGAATTTATTTCTGTGTAAATCACATCTGTTTATTTAGTGGCGGCTACAGCAATAAAAATGAGTGTTATAGTGTAAGATAGATGACTATTTTCCCTACAAATAGCTTGTATTTTTATATTTCACGTTTGATCATATTGTTTAGTTCATTTGGATGGATAAGTAAAGTACACCATACAAATCATGAAGAAGCCAAGATGGGCAAATCTGATAGTTTAATCTCACACAGAGATGAATTTATCAACTCGGAAGTACAACTGTATTGATAAATATTATCTAGAGTTATAACTAGTGGATTTATTCTTTACTGTTGTAAGTTTTCATTACCTTTGCGTCATAACAGCGATAACTCTAACGAACTCCGATTAAGTTTACATCAACCCCCTTCTTTGCTAGCTCCAGCTGCTCAAAAAGATAACCTCGTTAATCGAATTTATTTGGAGAGTCCAAAGAAAAATTATCTTTCCATAATAAATTGTATTTCGAAACTTAGCATCCCCAACACTAGTACTAAGGTTTACTGTACTCGGATGAATTTCTGATGAATACACTTCGAAGGATGTTTTGTGACTTCAATGAATGAATCTAATGTACAGTGTCTATCCATTTGGTGTCAGAACTCTTATTATCCTCGACTGTGAGTTAATGACTCTTTTAAACGCGAAATATTTAGCATACTACTTAAAATTGCAGGGAAAGATTTATTCATAAGAACCCTGGAGATATTTCCTCATAAGCATAATCAATTTGATTTCTTCAAGAAAATATTGAATTTTGTAGGCGTAAAAGAGTGAAGGACAGGATTTGTCCAAAGACTTCATAACAGAGATGGACTGTATGAAGTCTGCAAGTAATTCACTTCACTAGTTGTTATTATAGTACAACTTGACGATAAAAAACTTCCCAAATCTCTCTGATCTTTTGACACAATGTTTTTAACATAAAACTGACGAGAAATTCAGTGCACTTCATTCGTAAGCCGTAAAATTTGATAAATCTCCCAACAGTGAATCCCAACTGGGGAGAAAGAATGTTTCTGTAATTGAATTTGTTAACGTGACTGGATGTCCTGTCTAGTATACGTTAACCAGAGAACCGTGTACTTGTTTCTATTCGACAAAATTTCGTGTTTGATTACATTGCCATGAGAAAAACTTGGACTAGATTTCCAGGTGAAACGTTGGATTTATTTCAAATTCATTTGCTGGGATTTTACAAATACATCCTTTCTCCTTAATGTTACACATCAACTCGGCACCCACTGTGAAACTGTTCGATCAAATTTAGACGAAGGTTCGTATGTAAAAAGTTCAACTATTCATTTATATCATATCAGTGACTGGTTGAATGCAATGAACGTTGCCTTTGAAAACGACAGGTTGTTTGGATCACACCGTGTGAATCCTTATTTATTTATATTCATGTTTAATCTCATGTTAAAATTCTTTTTAAAATAAAACCGCACGTTTAAAAATTATTTTTAGGTGCTTCTTGACGATCTCAAGGAAGCATCTTACAATAAAATAGATCATGTATACGAATTACTGTTAGAAGGTGATAGCTTCCAAGCTCTTAAAAATTGGGCGTTTACACACAAGTCTACCACCTTGTTGCAGTTAAAACAAAATATTGCAAATGAACATTATTTAAATAACTCATGCGGCTGTAGCTATTTGAAAAAAGCTCAGGTGTGTCATTTCCACCAATTCGAGAGTGATTTTACTGAATTTATTTTAGGTTAGTTGGGAGCGCAAAATGTTACGAAGTTTAAATTCAATGTGCCAAGAGCTTAGAATACCTCTGGGAAGAAAAGTTAGTAGAGTAGCACTATGGGTTTTTCGGTTTAATTTCCTTTTAAAAGAGGTCGAAGTGTCACAAAGAAGCTGTTCTACAAAACTGGACAGAATTATCAGTATTTTTTAACAGTAAAGTCATGCAATTATTCCTAACTAATAATTCCGCATTCCTCATAAATGTGTCAAGAACAGTCAATTATTAAACCAGTCTTTGGTCCAAAAGATCTTTTAGATGTTCTTACAAGTATTAAACATCCACAAGTGAGATCCACATTTGAAGAGTAAGCTTTTTGTATATCATATTGCAACGACCATTTTCCTTTCAACAATAGTTATAATTCAGCAACGATTGCAAATTGGGGTCTAATAAATCTACCTATAAATGTTAAAAATCTGTTCGATCTAGTATGTTCACGATTCACAATGTTGTTTATAGTAACTAGAGAAGGTTTTATGAACCATTACACATCAAAAATCCTCAAATTGGTGTTGACGACTCACTGCCATCTACTTTTGAATTGGTATATGAACATGAAGCTAAAGAAGGTACACTATAGTTATTTTGTTAAATCTAATTTCCACTTTACTTTCTTCAAAAAATATCAGTCATAAGTCTCGACTCTTCTGAACGGGCACAACAGTTTTTGCGTCGTGGCTGCCCCCTAGGTTATCGCGCACAATTGTGGGCCTTGTGTTTAAACTCAAAAGTGACGGAACACGTAAGTGCTGATCCATGATCTCAAAGTATTATCACTAAACCACCACGACTGTAATATTTATCCTTCATCGTTGAAAGTCATTTTTACATTAGATTCGTTTTTGGGAAACCAGTTGATTTTAATTATTTCTATTTCATTGAATGCAGTTAATTTCACCAAATGCTGACTATTCATCAATGGATATTTCAAGAAATTTCACCAGATGAAAACCTCACCGAATAGGTAGTTCAAGCTACGATTAAAATAAAGGATTTTCAAAATCCAGTTCTAATTTCAGTTTTTTTCATTAATAAGTCGCTGAACTAAGCTATTCAACTCTTAATCAGGTCATTTATGTATATTTAATGATTATGTGCTTAGTGCATACAAAGTAACAAGATCATGCCCAGTAATCGTCCTGAATAAATCGTTTGTTATTATTTTAGAGAGACGTGGAAAGCTCAAAACACAGTTGGATTTATTTATGATTTATAGTTCCTGATTGCAGAAGAACACCTATAATGATTGTCTATTACAACCTGTTGAACGTTTTAAGGTACCATCTCAGTTGATCAATTCATGTGTTTTCTAGTAAAATAAGGTTGGAGTTCAAAGATCAGAAAACTGAAATCCGATTTAAATGTGGTGTATTTCGATCTCTCAAAAATACAGTGATTTGTATTTGAAATATGGTAAAACAAAACTTGGTAGTTTCACCGGACTACTAATTTTTAATCATCTCTTATGGATAGCACACGCAGGTTAGGGTGCCAGACTGTGTAGAAATATTGGCTATTTAAGGCGTTTAATTGGTGAATACTTGGTTAAGACATTAGTCTTTTATGAAGTTGATGATGCAGATCAATGCTTTAGTGGTGTCAATTAATAATGAACAATATATCCCTGTGCTTTATTGCTCAATAATAAAATAGCTCAGAGTTTGGTTCATATGGTATCGAGAATATGAATTTCTTAACTAGACTACAACAATCGTGTACAGTTTCCCATTGTAGCGAGTTACTAAGTCAGTTAACTATTCCGACTACTCGGATTTCCATTGATCTTCGCAAAGTATAAAAAATCCATAAATCTACTGATTTTGCAATTTAAAGCTGGTATTCTCGAAAGCACGCTGACTGGCTCCCGAAAAGCTGAGGTTGTCTACAAACAATGATAGAATTAGGAATCATTCGACCGTCAAATAGCCCATGGTCATCTCCCTTGCACATGGTCCCTAAAAAGAACAGCAACGATTGGCGTCAAACTGGTGATTGTTGGTGTTTGAATGTTAAAACCATTCCCGATCGTTACCCGTTGCCTCACATTCACGATCTGAGAGCTACCTTGAAAGGTACAACTGTGTTTTCGAAAATCGACCTGGTTAAAGCTTATAACCAAATCCCTATGGCTGATGACGTTATCCCAAAAACCGCTATCATAACTCCCCTCGGACTCTACGAATTTTTACGAATGCCTTTCGGTCTAAGGAATGCTGCCCAAACCTTCCAAACGTTCATAAATGACGTTTTCCGAGGTCTCAACTTCGTACATGCGTACGTTGATGACTATCTGATAGCTAGTCCGCACCGATTGTTATCATTCTATTCAAATGAAGTTAAAGAAAAATTGAAATTATCTTCTAAGATTCTCCAGCTAATTCCATTTTTATTAGTAATTAAAACGTTAATTACATGAACGATTGTGAACACCTGATAGTTCAAGTATTATAATTCACTATTCCAACCAATGATTAATATTAAAAGATGTTTCATTACTTGACAATAATAATAATAAATGAAATACCATGGATTGGTACTGCAGTTCCACCATAACGTCATGGTACAACAGAAGAACTCCAAATAATCTTAAAACAACACGGAATCAAAGTGCATTACAAAACAACGAACACACTTCGAAATACTTTAGTTCGCTTAAAAGAAAAAAATCCCGTTTATGTTAACACAGATCTGTGTCTACAAATTAGGTTATGTCGGTTGTGATGCCTTCTATATTGGAG